CATGGTGGTGGAAAAGCAAACAGTAGTTTGTGATGGAGTTGCTTAACAAAAAAAAAATCTGTTTCCTATTTGTGAGGACGGTGTGTGTGTGTGTGTGAGAACAAAGCGAACTTGTGTTAATGCTGCACTCAACCGAGAACATAGACAATTGTGTGAGGAAATTTTCCATTGCACCGTCTTTATTTCAGGACAAGGCCAGGCTGTAACTTAAAGGAATTGGGAATGCATTTAGCCACTTTGTTTGTTATTCCATTAGCCAACAGTTAGGCCGGTGATTTGATCAAGTATGGTTGTTTCTTGTACTGTCCGCAGCCCAAAACAAATCCGCGCTTGTCCCTTGGTACTTTCTGGAGAACTGAAAGGAAGAGACTTCTTAAGGATTTTGTGATAGAAAAGCTGCACAGAGATCTTTTAAAGGTGTTTATCTAGACGCTCTTGTTTGTTTTTAAGAAAATACACTGAGTAACATTCTTAACTTCAAGGTCGCAAACTTGTTTTTGGGAATGTTTTTCAGGAAGTGTTGTACTATTTCAGCTTTATTTCATTATATTTTTCTGCCAAGGATTAAAATGAAATATGTAAATTCAAAGGTGGCTTTAATTCAGTGGCCAGCAAATCAAATACTAAATAGTACACTGAACACCTATTCAGCTGAGATAAAATTTTACACTTTTGGGGGCAGAGAATCGTAGTCGCGTTGCTCGGAGGGTTCTTCAATACTTTCTGAATTAATGTACTAATACATCTTTCAGTAGCATGTGTTATTAATAAAAACCACTTACCTTTTATGTACATCTCACTACAATGAACGTGGCAACCAGCCCATTAATGGAATCTCCTATTTATTTACTAAGGGCATGAAGACATCTAGCAAGCAGGATGAGGCCTGGATCATGAACCGTCTGATAAAACAGCTCACAGACATGGGCTTCCCTGTGAGTAGAGCTCAGCCAGCACACTGTGCCTTAGTTTTTAGCTTGTACTTCTGACTGTGGCTGTTTCAGACTGTAGCTACACCAAGGTCTTTTGTCTCCAGGCTGGGAAGTAGCTCTGACCTGCATTTAAACACGTACTGTGATTTCAGAAATCTGCTGTAAACCTATAGAATGCTCTGAGATCAACTGGGGATATCGTTTCCATGAGGACATTTATAATATTTGGAAGTTCATGGTTTTATAACAACAAGTATTACTTTGAACTGTAGTAATAAGCTCCTCCCATTTCTCTTTTTTTATTAAACAGGTGAAATTAGAGTATAGCTGGGTTGTTTCTTAGAAAAAGTCATATCATTGTGATATTTGAGTTGTTAATGGAAAACAGGAAGAAGTTTAAACAGAACAGTGTGTTTCACCTTGTAGAGCCAGTACTTCGTTGACAAACTGAAATACCTGAACTGTGGGAATTGCTGAAAGCAGGAAAAAAACACATACAGACATTATTTAGGCTGCTGAGTGAACATTAAACCCAATATTTAAGAGATATGTCTGTTTTCTCAGGTTACTTTGAAATCACGTGAATCATATGATCCCTTTTCCTCTTAACATAATTCCTGTTTTTACAGAGAGAGCCAGCGGAAGAGGCCTTGAAGAGCAACAGTATGAATCTCGATCAGGCCATGAGTAAGTATCTGTGTAAGTAACTTTTTTGTCTTTAAAGCAACACAGAAACCCTGCATGATTCTGAGCATTTGATTATATTCAGACCAATTGGATAATGCTGATTTTCTTTCCTTGCTTTTGTAAGCAAGATGTATTTCTCTGAACTGCTCCTGGCAACTTTCCTCTCTCTGCCTCACCTTCTCCAATATCTTTCCCCTTTCTGTGCAGGTGCTCTGCTGGAAAAGAAGGTGGAAATGGACAAGCGTGGAATGGGAGTGACCGACTATAATGGAATGGTCACCAAACCCCTTGGCTGCCGCCCACCACCAATCTCCAAAGAGTCTTCCATGGACCGCCCCACCTTCCTTGACAAGGTGAGTTCAGCTACAGGAACGTGGTGCACAAGTCAGAGTGTGCACAGTGTAGAAATGATTTTCATTGTCTGCTTAGAAAGCATAGAATGAAATGTGATAGATAAGTCTTTATTCCTTTTCTTGTCTTTTTTCAATCTTGTGGGGAATTCAGTCCTTGTGGAAAGGATCAATTACTTGATTCTCACTTAGAAATAAAGTGTTATCATTCCCAGTTTTGCACTTGAATACTTGCTGAGGAATCAGCAACACAATGGAACTAGAAATGGAAAAAAAGAGCAAAGAATTGAGCAGAGGAATCTTGTCTCTCTGTGAGAGTCCAATCAGTGACCCTTGCCCAGATTCACAATCAGGCAGGACTAAGGCCAAAATCTTCAAAGAATTGGGCTCTTAATTTCTCTTCTTTTAGTTTTGAGCTTCTTAGAAATTTCAGTGAAAGTTCAGTACCTAAATATGAAGGAGGAGTTCAGGTATTTTTGTCAAGTCTCAGAGCAGACATGTACAGTCATAAATAGCTTCTCCAATGAGTTTCCCTTTCTGTGATCACATATGACAAATTCTACAGCACTATTTGATGACTGAGGAAAAGGCTCCAGAAGTTTGTGGCGTCCAGGATTCAGACTAAAGAAAAGAATATATGGAAAAGTGTAGCCAGATCTTCAGTAGGAAATGAGATTTACAGCCTTGACAGAAAGTCCTGCAGAAACTTAGTAAATCACCTAAGAATCCCCCTGAAAATTATTGATAAGAAAAGAAGAATCTCAGATGTCATTCTGTATTTCACAGGTTATTTAAAGGTTCATACAGATGGGGGGTGGAGGATTCTGAACACAGAAATCAGTGCTTTTGACAAACTGTGCTGAAATCATTTCAGATGAGCTGTGTACAAGGTGTGAAGCAGTAATGATATCCACTCATATAAAGTTCATTCTTAGCCATGGCAGATTTTAATGAATGTGTTAATTGAAGGCCACAAAGATGCATGCATGCCAGTTAGCCTTTCCTTTTTTTTGGATAACAATATCTTCAGCAGTAAAATTCTTGCCAGAGAGAGAGGTGCATTATGTGCAGCTTGATGCATAATTCTGGAAACATATGTTAAATACAACTATTGAGAAGGGAGTACTAAAATCATTAATATTCATACAGCAAGTAAAATCTATCAGTCTAGGCATAATCTGTCACAGTGACTTGGCTCTAACAAAGGAAATAATCCCACACTGTATTTGTTAGCTATCACAGTGTTGAGCAACTTGCTAAGTGAATTAAATAAATATAGTTTCTACTCTAAGAACACAGGGTTTTTTTTCCCCAAAGAAATTATTTCCAGATTTACAGCTCATGCTGTAGAGCAGCTCCTCCAAAACCTTTTTGCCCTTTGAGGTACTGTTTCAGAGCATGAGTCTGGAGCTGTCTTGTTTCTGCTTAGGTCATCCTCGGTGAGGAACAAGCTCTCCTCACATCTGGACAGAGCACTCCAGCCAACATGCCTTGTTTTACTTATTGCTTTGTCAAGTCATCATCTTTTTGTTGGCTTTGCTGAATCTTCAACAAAAGATTCAAGCAAAGATTCAACCTTCTGCAAGGTTCCTCTTTATGAAGTTGTAGCTTGGGTTGGTGTGCTCATTGTTACTGCTCAGCTCACCTGCATTGAGACTCCATCATTTTTCTCTAAAGCCAGCACTTAATGTTTTTTAAACTTCATCCGTTTGAGGAGGGAAAATTTCCAACTCTGGCATTTGCTTCTGGGCCCACTGATCTCCCTGTTCTCTCTGGATCAGGAGTGGTCTGTGCAATTCAACATCACCTTTGAGTGTTTGCTTTCTCTGCTTGCTGCAGGTGCTCTTTATTCCATGTCACACCGAGTCAATCTTCAGCACTCAGTGCTTTGTTAATTTATTATTTCTCAGGATGTTATCTTGACCTGTAGCACCATAAAAAGGACAAGGGAGAAAATCCTTTGAGTGGCCTTGAGGGAATAAAGAAGCATCCCTGATACGTGATCTCAACCACATTATCTCACACTTGGTGGCAGATGTGCTGTGCTTGCTGTCAGGTTTGCCTGAAGATGTTACCTGCTGTCTTCTGGAGCCATCAGATTTGTAAGAAATGCATGTCAGATTTTCCTGGAAGCATCCTTAAAATACCAGAAATAAGCCTAGGGAAGGGATCTTATTTTCAAGTATAGAGACTCTGAAATTCTCAGCCTGCAGATGAAGTCTCCTTTTCCTGCCCTCATAGTCAGTGATCAGCTCCTCTTCTCTACTGCTGCAAAATCCAGGTCTACAAGCCTTGATGCCTCTTAGCTGCAGTCCTGTTCTTCCAAAAATCTTCTGACCAGACCTTTTCCTTGTTTCTGATGTAAACATAGTGTTGGGTTTTTTCAGCCTCGTCCTTCACATTCTGAGCCCAGTAATCTCTGGGCAGTGTGATTGGTTTTTGTCTTTAGGACAGCAAGTAGGATATTGTATTAATATGGAGAAACTTTTTTTAGATGTCACAATTAGATAATGATCACTAGGATTTTAAAGTTGTCTGTTAAATTCTTCTTTCCTCCATCTCTGCCACCTGTGATCCAATGACTGAAGCCATTTTCATCACCTCTTGTGTGATGAGCACTTCTCTGAGTATTGCATTTCCTCCAGATTTCTTTTGCCTAATTCCTGTTTGATTTAAAGATAATTTTTTTAGATGAGATTTCATTACTTTACCTTCCTCTTTTAGGATAGGATTTTTTTTTCAGTCTTTTTTTTAAGAAGTCAGTGTGTATTTTCTGCCAGCTACTGACTGTTTAAAGACCTCTGGCAGATTCATCAGCCTCTCATGTGTCTGTTGAGACATTTTGATTCATGAAGTGGCAGTTCTTGGCAGGTGACTGCCAAAGTGTCCAGGCATCCTCTGCTAAATTGTCCATATCTCATAGGGCTAAAAACCTTTGAGTAAATCCACTGTCATTCTGTCACATTTGGTATTTGAGACTATTGTGAGAGACTTCCTAAAATCTTAAAAAGCACCAGTGTGGTGCTTTGTGTAAGATAACTGTAGTAGGAAACACTGCTACCAGTAGGATTTTATAGGTGTGTCAAGTCTCTTCAAAAAAGTTAAAAGTAATGCTGGATTGAGCATTAATGTGATGATTCAGTTTTTAATTGAGTAGCCTGAGGAAGAAGTGTAACATAAATTTGTAAGAAAATCGCTGAAGAGGAAAGGTTAGGTAGAAAAATTAGTTCTTCAGGAAACAATTATTGCATAAAGGATCCTGAGAAATAATGGATCAGAAACCACTGTGAGCAGTAAAATTGTCCTCTAGTCTGGCTTGAAAATGGCTAAAGGGTGCTTTAATTTGACCAACTAAAATACTTCATGTTAAATGAATTGATTTTAGTTCAATTGTAGAGCACAGATTTGTGCAGCACCATGCAATAAGTTCAAATTAAATAAAATAGAACCAGGTGAATATAAACAAAGTGTTAAAAACTTATACAAAGCCATTTGCTGCAATTCAGCCAAGGAACACACTTGTGAAGGAGGCTGGAAATTAAATCCCTGGTCTCCAGTGTGGTTTGTCCCCCACCATCCTTGGCACTGCCTATTTCCAAATTGGGAAAAATCATGTCAGTAAGGCAAGACTTGAATAAATCCGGGGGGCAGGGAGGGTCTTTCATGGTCAGTGGATCTGTTCACACCGGGAGCAATTGCATCTGAAGGGGAGAGCGAGCACCAAGCTTGAAATTATTTTCACTTTGAAGGGGGGAGGGTAGAATTGTAAACATATGTCTGTGATCTAAAGAGAAATCCTTGAACCTGTTACTGTCATGCAAGCTGCAGTTGTTTGTGGAGTGTGACTGATGTCCAGTAGAATGTAAAATATCTGAAGCTGAAAGGCCTTGGGGATATCATTAGAAAATGTCAGTGTCCCCCTCAGGATCGTCAGATAGGATGTCAAGTGTCACTTTGCCTGATAGCAAAAAAACTTTTCCTTTGCATCAAAGGAGAGCTGTAGAAAATACATTTTTGAGGATTAACTTAAAATGTCTAATTCACTGAGCATGCTTGCTGCATGAGGTCATCTGTTTGGGTATGTGGTAAGCAGACTGGGCTGCTTTTTGAACAAAGGAGGTTCACCAGTATCTCACAGTCTTCTGGGGCATTGAATTTATTGCTTGAAATAACCTAGCTCCTCACTTCTTTAAAAAGCCTTTCTTTGCAATGAACATACTGCCTGAAATACACCAGCCCAGCACATTGCAAATTAAATCTCTTTCTCTCTGCCTGTTATTTTGGAGCCCTGCTTTGTACACAGTGTTATTTGATCATGCTTACCACAGGCTTCCCAGACATCAAAGCACAGTTTGAGATAGAACTCAGTGCCCTACTGAAACATGAGCAGAGATCTACCTGTTTGATTGGAGGTTCTCTAATTTATTTTATATTCTGCCTTTTCCCCCCCATGGGGGCTGCCTCCTGTGCATCAGATCCATGCTCAGCTGTGGTTCCTCACAGCCCAGTTAGCAGAGGGGGCTCCTCCTGCCTTGCTAAAATCTGCCTCCTCCTGGGGATGTCCAGGAAGGCTGCCCAGCCGATATTGTCATTACTGGGTCTGATGGTTTGTGTTCATTGGCTGCCTCGCAGAGCAGTGTTTCAGAGTGGGGTATTAATAACTCAGCGCTATGTGAATATTAAAAGAGGCTCATGTGTCTCAGTTAGGAAAGGGGATTAATGCAAAAATGCTTTTTTAAGAGCAGAGCTATGATGTGGAACCAAATCCAGACTGGTGTCAAATAAGCTGCTGTGGCCTTTCCCAAGATTTGGGTTTGTTAAAGTGCTGGTTTATGTCTGTGCTCCAGTGTGGAGTTTTCCAGGCAGACAGAGGGCTTCCCTGAAATGTGCTGGGCCTCTCCCCCTTGCACCTTTCAGTCTGGTGGAGAAGAAGGGAGAAAACCTAAATGGGGAGGAGGCAATGGCCACATGATAGCTCTGCAATCAGCTGCTAAAATCCCTCCTTTCCTCTGGAAGGGTGGGTGAGGGGGATTGTGCATTTGGGAATTAAATGCAACCAAGTTACAGAAAACAGCACCTTAATCCTGTTTCTCTCTCTCTTCTCCCTTCACTCCATGCTTTCCATTCTCTGTTATTCATCTCTTTTTTTTTTATGTATCTCTTTTTTATCCATCCACATCTTTTTCTGTCTCCATGGGACTCTGTTTTGTGCGCTGTGGGCTCCTGGCACTGCACACAGCTCACCCTTTCTTTCTCCAATCAGGATGGCGGCCTAGTGGAAGAGCCCACTACTTCACCATTTTTGCCTTCACCAAGCCTGAAGCTCCCCCTTTCAAACAGTGCACTCCCTAATCAGACCCTGGGCGGGATTGCCTCAGGGCTGGGCATGCAAAACTTGAATTCTTCTAGACAGGTAAGGTTGTTGGGGGAGATCCCCAGGGGAATTTGGCTCTCTTGGAGTAGCTGCTAGTGCCTGTCAGCCTCTTCCCCAGGAAAAAAAGGGTTAAAACTGCAAGTGCAACAGCTTTGTTCATGTGAAATATCAGAGGAGGAGCTACCTGCTGTGTAAACATCTCACCTTACAGGACATGAAAAAGCTGTGTAGTTGTAATTAGCCTGCTGATGACACATATCCATCCAGAAGAGACTGTGGTGTTGTGGATTTATTCCCCTGAACCCTGGTGTGGCTCTACCTTCATTGATGGGAAATCCCTTTTTTTGAGGCATTGCTAATTGTCACAGACTGTAAGGCAGTGAGATTGCTCTAATTCATCTTTGTTGGCTGGTGTAATTATTCTGTGATGAGATAGGGGAGAAGTGATGAGGGGCTTTTTTATTCTTGCTCCAAGAGTCAAGGCATCTCATAGTTTTAACAGGTGGCAGGAAAGAAACTGGGCTTCCAGGACCTGGGTCAGGTAGAGCATTGGAAAGGAGAAAAGACAAAAAGGAGAGAAGATAAAGGGAGGGAGAAATGATAACCACCATGAGAGTGAGAAGCCATTAAGTACTGTTGATTATGAGAAGGTTATTTTTGCCATCAACTGAAGTCCCAGCAAAGATACGAAATAACAACACAGAAAAACTTTGTCATTCTGTTGTGGCTCTTTATTATATATATTCTTCTAAAATCAGTTTTCTTAAGGCAGTACTTGTCCAGCACTTACAGCCCATTAAGCACATCTTTCCAAAGCAGTCTCCACTAACAGCATGTCCATTATCAGTAGCTTTGTAAAATGACTAAGTAAAAAAACTGCTTAGCCAGCTGGAGGATGGGGTTACTGTGAGTTTAATGCCTCCATTCTCCTGTCCCTTGCTATACAAATATGAACATTTTTGGCAAGTACTTTTGATTTTTCATCTTGTAACCCTCCAGGGTTCTGCATCCTTAAGAAAGCCATCTTCAACTTCAGCTGCCTTTTGTTCAGGCATCTGTATAAAGTTTGGAGGTGTTGGGATGTTGGGTACATGGTAATCTTTGCCCTGCCCAATTCTAAACCTGGTTTTCAATACACTTTATGTGCTGGTCTCTTGATTCGTGCCTGTCATAACCACTAAGAATAAAGCCTGCACAGACGAGGAACACGCAGGTTATGTGCTGAGTGGTGCCACTGAGTGCCTGTGTCACTGTTGTCCTGCTGCAGATACCGAGTGGCAATCTGGGTATGTTTGGCAATAGCGGAGCAGCACAAGCCAGGACCATGCAACAGCCGCAGCAACCGCCAGTGCAACCTCTTAATTCATCCCAGCCTAGTCTTCGTGCTCAAGTGCCTCAGTTTCTATCCCCTCAGGTCAGAAACACCTCACTCACAGCCTTTCCCTTCCCCTGCAACTCTTCCCGTGTGCTCTGTCGTGCTCCTGAGGCTTCCTAGCCACTGCTGCCTGGCTGTGCCCGTGTTATTTATTTGTTTCCTAGGCAGAAGATGTGGCATGGCTGAGCTGTTCTCACATGCATATCATATAATTATGTCTGAGAGCACGTTCTTGTGCTCCTTTTTGCTCAGTGGTTTCTGAGGAGTTTGTTCTCATCTCTTTTTTTATAAATGAACACTTGAGTATGATTATTATGATTGTATCAGAGCCTTCTGCTAATTTTTTTGATAGTTCATGGTGTTACTTCTGGTGATAGTAACATTTTTCCAGCTGATGTGACTCACACAGTTGCCACTGTTAAAAGTAAATGTACAATGTTTAACACTCTTTTCTTCTTTAGGTTCAAGCACAGCTTTTGCAGTTTGCAGCAAAAAACATTGGTCTCAGCCCTGCACAGTTAACCTCGCCAATTAATAATCCTCAGCATATGACGATGTTGAACCAGCTCTATCAGCTGCAGCTGGTGAGTTAAAAGACGTGGCAGATAAGCTCTAAATCAGAATTGAAAGCATGAAGATAAAATAGGAGAATGACTAAATTTTTAAATGACATGACAGATCTTCAAAACAATCAGCTGCTGATTTCTTTGGTAAAGTTTCTTTTTAAAGAAACACCATCTTTTTTTTTTTCTTTTTGCCTTAGGCTTTATAAATAGTCATTTGTGGAATAATTATCCTTTACAGCTGATAAGTGGAACTAAAAGTCAGTTGTCTTCCTACTGGTGTGAATAAGACAGTGTGTTTCAAACAGCTCTGGCCTGTGTGTTACAACATGTCAGTAGAAAGATTAAACTGGACAACATAACAAGAGAAATCTTGGCAGTGCTGGTCGCCTGAGTTACCTACAGAACTTCTTTACTTGCCTCACTGGAAAATAAAGTGTAGGGTGAATTTCCTTTAATTAATGGAGTGTCTATTAAACACATCATGTGATAAGAACTACTGACTTCTGTGTATTTTTGCTGTGTTTGCAATATTTTAATGCATATGAAAATACTTAATGGGATTTGAAGAATATTTTAAAAAGAGATACTGTGAACTCAGTATTGGCCAGGTTTAAACATAAAATTACAGATGACAGACTTGTTCAGTTGCTGGTCTTGGTGTGCTAGTTGAAGTCTTTTATTAGTAACAGTGTTTGATACTATTACTCATTCTAATAATTTTCTCTAGTTCTGAGAAGCACAGCATTATTCTCAAAATAATTGAACAGTACCCAACTACTTGGAAAATATCTGTACAGAATTCCTTTGGATTTTGTGTGATTTTAATGTGTTTCAGAGAAACTTACCTTGTAAAAAAAATTTGCTGCCGAGCCAGCTACTTAAAAATTTTGGATATTTTTCAGGAATAAAACAGCACAAGTGATTTAACTACAAAATGTTGGCAGAACTCAAAATGGCCAAACCAAAAATAACTATTGGTAGTTGTAGTATTTGTAGGATATTATAAACTTCATTTTAATTTTTGCTTTGCATTACAGAAAAAAAAGTAGGTTCCTGTCTTTAATAACCATTTTTTGCCATGTGGACTTATTTCTTTTTTTTTTTTTTTAATGAACATGGGACTTAAATAAATAAATAAGATGCATTTGCAACAGGATTATTACTGTTGCTTTGTGGAGTGTTTTCAGAACACTGCAGAGTTTGCCTGTTCTGTGTTGTGGTGCAGAGGAGCAGTTGAAGGGGGCGTGTTGAGCTTGCAGTGTGTGACCTGTCCCTGTCCCCTGTCCCTGTCCCTGTCCCCACAGGCATACCAACGTTTACAAATCCAGCAGCAGATGTTACAGGCTCAGCGTAACGTTTCCGGACCCATGAGACAACAGGAGCAGCAAGTAAGTGACCCTGGCAGCCCCACCCCGCCTTCAGGGTTGGCTTTCAGTAGCTTGGAGAGGCTCAGGGGCATTAGACCAAAGCAGCTAAAGCATCCTTGCATCAGGAGTGCAGTGCATGGCTCGGGTGCTGCACTGGGAAGGTGCTGAGTGATGAAGCTGATCCACAGCCGTGCTGGAGGAAAGCTCTTCAGCCCTTTACACAGCCAGTTTGTGTTTGGAAATGTTGGATTTCAGGAAACGGGAGTTTTTGAGCTTTCTGGGCTTCCAGGCACAGACACCCTAGAGAACACTGGACCTGAAACCTTAGAAAATAGAAATAAATATAAATAATTATAAAATAAATATAAATACTATTTAAATATAAATGTAAATAATAAAATATAAATAATGAGTTAGAAATCATAAATGTATAGTAGGTTAGATGTGTGTGTTTTCACTGGGTGATGAGTTTTAAATTTGAATTTCATTTAATTTTAAATTTGATGGGTTTAAATTTGGGTTTTAAATTTTTACAGTATAGTGGTAGTTATAAGACAAGATAAAGAATTTTGGGTGGTGTGTTTTCTTCTTGTTCATCTCCATGGAACTTAAGTAGTAACCTCTAGTTGGTCAGTCTAAAGTCACTCTAAAGATCATAGAAATCTATTATTAAGTCAAAAGCATAAATAATATAAGTGTTAAACTTTTAATTAGTCTGTTTAGCTTTAAAAAGCCTTGAAACAAACTCAGCTTGAGGCCATTTTTCCTACTTCTAGCAAGGAGCTAGAAGTGCTTTCTGTAATTCTCTGATAAGATATAATAATAAACATCCAACTCCGAACACAAAAATCCATCTCAATCACCTTTCTAATAATCCTAGCTCCAAACAAAAACCAACAAGGCCGATGACAAACCACCAATTATTGGTGCAAAGGCCAGCACACACTCCTGCAGTAAGGATACCTAAGACAGTGTGCAGAAAGGCAGAGAAGTGCAGTGTGTTTGTGTGGATCTCCACTGACAGTGGTGTGTTGGCTCTCTCCCTGCAGGTTGCACGTACAATCAATAACATGCAGCAGCAGATCCAGCAGCACCAGCGCCAGCTGGCCCAGGCCCTGCTTATGAAGCAGCAGCCTCCCCCTCCACATCTATCTTTGCACCCCTCTGCAGGCAAATCAGCCATGGATAGCTTTTCACCCCATCCCCAGGCTCCCGGCCTTCCTGACCTGCAGACCAAAGAGCAGCAGTCTTCACCGAACACCTTTGCTCCTTACCCTCTTGGTGAGTGTCCTCCTGCACAGGCAGTGTGTGGAGCTTCTCCTTAATGCACATCTCAGCGTTTTGCTCCACAGTGTAACAAATGCAGATATCAATATAACTCTGAATATAAATATCGATTGAATAGCACTGAAATGACAAAACAAAATCATGCCTGTGTGACAGCTGTATCTGCTCACCTGTGTTCTGCCTACAAATATCAGAAGGTTTGCCTAATTAGTTACTTATATATGTTGCTATTTATGAACTAAATATAAACTAACAGCATCATGTTGCAAAATGCAGAAATGTTATATTGATAAACAGGAATATCATCTGGGAAGAAGTTGTGCAAAGTTATCTTTCTGCTGTAATCAGCACTGGTGAGGCATCAGTTTTGGTCAGTTTTGGATCAGTTTGAAGGAATGCAGAAAGATTGTAGTGGAGGTGATTAAACGTTTCAAAACACAACTGATAAGGAAAAAGTTAAATCCTCTGCTCAGTAGTCTAAAGGAAAGATTTGAGATACTTGCAAGAATCTTCAAAAATGTAAAAGAGAGCTAGGAAGACATTTTCTTGCATTTCCTAATGCAAGAGGTAATAAACTTGAGTTGCATAAAAGGAGATCTGGTTAGACATTAAGGATCACTTGGTTTAAGCAGAGTAGAGTACTGGAATAAGTTATCTGGAAAGTTCCTGAAATCTTCTCCACCAGCATTTTGTGGTAGGCTTAGACACAGATCTGTCAAATATGATTGAAGTAAAAATAACTGATTGGGCCTGGATACAGAGTGAACAGAGCAACCTTTCAGACCTGTTTGCTGTGTGATTGTTTGATGTATGCTACAGACTTTCTTTATGACATAAAGGAATTAATATAATCTCTTTGTGACTCTCTTTATGCTGGGTACAATAGTATTGCCAAGCTTTATCTGCCATGCAGCAGTTAAGAAGGTAATTCTGACTGCTGTTGTGGCTGGGAGCATCAGAAGGCAAAAAATGGGTGAATTAAAGGCCTAAGTCTGAGAGGTTCTTAAGATATCTCAGCTTTCTGTGATCTGCTAACATTCAGGATTATATATCAAAAAAAAGACCCAGATTCATGTCACAGAAGCATGTCAAAATTATTCCCAGAATAACAGTCTGAGTGATTTTGTTCTGTTTGTACAAAATAGAAGCCCAGTTAGTGCAGAACCTGCTCTGATGAACAGCAGCTGTTTGTCTGACCTTTTAATTGGTTCCTTTTTTGGGGAATTTTTAGCAAAGTGAAGTGGCAGACATTGTGGGGGGGTGCTGGGGAGACATTAGGAGTATTTTGGCTTAGCCATGGAATGGTGCAAACTGGTTTAAACACAACATTCCAGTGCATTCTTCCAAGACAAGTGAAGAGACTCCAAGTAGAAACACTGACAGCTTTAAAATATTATCCCTACATCTTGTTCCCCCCCGCTTTTTAACAAAGTTTTAACTTTTTCTGAATTCATGGCAGTTCTATTGGTGTTCCATAAAAGCAGAATTCTTGAAAATGTGCCTTGAAAATGCCACACATGCATACAGATATCTGAAAATCAACACTGAGTAATTCCTGGATTTCAAACCCAGCTTTTCAGCCCCTCAGTATATGATGATAGCTAAAGATCTCTTTCCCCCCCAGCTGGACTGAACCCGAACATGAATGTAAATAACATGGACATTACTGGTGGTTTGTCAGTGAAGGACACTTCTCAGTCCCAGTCTCGCCTTCCTCAGTGGACACACCCCAACTCAATGGATAATCTGTCCAGTGCTGCTTCTTCGCTTGACCAGAACTCCAGCAAGCACGGTAATGTCCCCTGGCACCCCTGCCAGCCTGCCTTTGCCTGATTCCAGCCACAATGCAATTGGAATTGCTTCTCTCTCATGTTACTTTTTGGTGTAAGTGCTCACAAATGGGTGGTACCAAGAGCCTCTGAGCCCATGAGATTTTATAGATGATTTCTGCAATGAAGGGCCTGCAGCTGTTACTCCCTGCATGCAGTGTAGGGATGGGAGGTTTTTGTATTTCTTGAATTTTGTTGCTAAGATCATGGATTTCAAGTAAAACAAGTCCCACAATCTTCCCCTTATTCCAGACCTGCATGCCTTCAATCCAAAAAAACTTTACACTGGCTTTCTCCTACAATTTTTCCAGTATCTTCAACCTCTCCCTGAACAAAAGTGTGATAGATTACATAGTTACTCAGCCTAGAGTTAGGGACAAAAACTTCTTCCTTTTCCAGAAGTGATTGCTAATCTGTTTGAACTTTATCCCTAACGCCTCCAGTATCCTGAGCCAGTTATTCCTTAATTTCCTGTACCAAATTTATTCTCTTAGAACATGGGGCTCTGTTAACTTTATTATATCCTGAATTTTATTATGAGCAGCATGAATTACTTCTTCTACAGCAGTTTTTTATTCTGCAAGTAGCTGCAGTGCTGATGCCAAATTACTGTTTGATAGTTTGTAGGAACATGAGAACAGCCATTTCAAATCATCCCTCCTGTCAGCACTGAATGCCTAGGGAAGGATGAGATGGGGGATATTCCTTGGTATGCTGTCTCAGCAAGTTCCTATTTACTATGAGTGTGATGATTTGAATTATTTAGTCTCTTTTTGGCAGGAATTTAATGCAGAATTCTTTAACTTGGGTATCTAGATTGTACCAGCAGTGTGTCTCTCAGCTGTAATCCCTGCTAAGGCTTCAGGTGCCGTTAAGCTTGGCTTACTGTATTTGCATTACAGTTTTCTTTATATCTTTGTAATACAGAAAGAAAAAAACAATAATTAAATATATCCTGATAAAATTCCATCCCCTCAATCCCCATTTCCCTCCTTGCAGGTGCTATCCCTGGAGGTTTGAGTATTGGTCCTCCGGGAAAGTCCTCCCTCGATGACTCCTACGGCCGCTATGATCTGATCCAGAACAGTGAGTCTCCTGCCAGCCCACCTGTAGCTGTTCCTCACAGCTGGTCACGTGCCAAATCCGATAGTGATAAGATTTCCAATGGCTCCAGCATAAACTGGCCACCAGGTAACACAATCCAAAGCCTTGGTGTTGGACTGGTGTCCCCAGAACGTTGTTGGGTGGGTTTGTTGAGTCCCGATGCACGGGAGCTTTGGAGAATTGTGACTTCACACACACTTCCTTTTTGATTGTGTTTGAAACAGAGTTTCACCCAGGAGTGCCATGGAAAGGACTGCAGAATATTGATCCTGAAAATGACCCTGATGTTACTCCTGGCAGTGTTCCTACTGGGCCTACCATAAACACCACGATCCAGGATGTGAATCGCTATCTGCTCAAGAGTGGAGGTAAACACACAAATGGCTTCCACATCTGTGCATACTTTCTTTTCCCTTCCAAGAAAGGGTTGACCTCGTTTGTTACAGATAGAACAGATTTTTTGCATGTGATCTTAATCTAATAATGCTTCTGCTCGGAACTGTCGCTGAATATCCAGAAGTAATTGTTTCGAAAGAAGGGATTAAGACATTTCTTATTTTCCATGGGAATGTAAATATTTTTATATTGGAAAGGCTGTGAAATGTAATTTAAACTTCTGTGGTCACTGGAAGTTTTTCTAACCTGTATTACATGATTTTAAACAAGATTTTGCTCTCCACACTGCCCACCTCCTCCATACACTTTGTGAAATTCCCAGAAGATTCAATTTCAAAAAAGTTCCACAGTTGTTGCTGAGACAGCAGGCTTCTGGTGCACTAATTAATTGTAGCTTTGTTAGAAGATCAATAAGGAAAATAAATTAGAACTGTTTTATCTCCAAAACCATAGAAGAAAAAAAATTGGGAATTGACTAGTAAACTACTATTTCCCAGTGCTATTTCCATTCTTTTTGTCTTGGCAGTGCTTACTTCAGAATAAAAAGGGAATTCTCTAAAACAAGAAAGCATTGTGACTGTGCTACTTGTTAGCTACATGTGCTGGAAGTTGATCAAGGGAAAGGTGGCTTGGTTAATTGTGATCTGAGTGCCAAAATAGCCAATTTATCTGCACTCTGTCAGAGCACTGCAGTTGGCACAGGAACAGCATAATCAGGCTGTCCAGAAGGACCTGTCAGGAGTAAAAATGAGGTTTGTTTTAACTGTTACATCTGTGATACCAGCACAGATTGTGAATCAGGGCTATCCTTGAAGTGGAGGTCCAGCTCTGGGCTTGTTACCTCAGGCAAGGGATGTGAAACATGAGGGAAAGGAAACCAGAGTGTTGACTGCCTGCAGTGATTTTGGTTGTTTCTTAGCAGGAAGCATCCTTTCTTTCAGCTGAAACGTGAAGTATTTGGGTAATGAGTAAGTTGGATTAACTTCTAATGACTCCAAAGTGCTTCCAAGGGCAGGTTTGAAGTTACAAAAAGAAAAGCTGTAAGATGTAATTCAGTGACACTTCAGATACAGTGCACCCAAGAAATACTCTCCAGGTCAGAAACCTGAACCTACAGAGCTGTACCTGTAAAATCAGATAACATCCACCACAGGTCTTGCTGCTTTAGAGAAGGAATATTCCTCTGTTGGTGCATAATCTGCCTGTGGAATGAAGAAATAACTCCTCTCTTTAGGGTCAGCAGAGATGGCTTTTGCAGCATTAAACAGGCCCTCAAGAGGTCAGACCTTCTGAAAAGCAGTGCTGTGGGGGTCAGTGTGTGCTGCTTCTCCTCATTAACTATTTAGCTTAGTAATAATAGAATTTTAATAAAAACTATAGTTGCAGAATCTGTTTCTTTATGCTTGTGTAACTGCAGCCTGAAGCACAGAGTTTGTGCTGACAGAGCTGCTCCCCAGTTAGAGAGTCAGGCTGTGGGGTGTGCTGTCCTTGTCCCGTGCACTTAAAAACAGGCAAAACTTGGATCGATTTTTGCTTTGCCCTGTTTGCTAATGAAGCTTTGGAGGGTCAGTTTCTATGAGCTGAGAGTTGTAGCCACAAGGAATCAGGACCATTTTCAGCTCTGTGGGCCTTTGAATCTGCTATAATTCCATAGTTCCTGCCTGGGGAATAGATTATTTCCAGACAGGGCTGATACAGAGTTCTGTTGGTTGAAACTGATGTCTGTATTGGTGTCCCTTGGAGCACAGGGAGTCTGGTTAAGGTCAAGTTTGGTTGGTTGCTGTTCCAGTTGAAAACAAAGCCTGTGTTTTTTATTGAGCTGTGAGGGATGAGATTGTCCTTTACCTCCTCCCTTCTACCTCAACACAGAGCTCTTTGCTACAGAGCTCACCTCTTTTTATGAGTCCGTTAAAGATGTTTCAGTATCACAGCCCATCTCTGTGTGTCAGGAGTGATAAGTCACCCAGCATACACACTTAATTTTGTTGGTGGCTAGAAAGAATACTTCCAGCTCTCCTGGTCTTTGCAATGCAAAATTTTTGATTTTATGTTCAGTTTCTTTCATTTGCTGCCAGTAAGGAAATTGTATGTATGCATAGATAGCTGCTCAGATTGTAAATGATTTACTGAGGTGGTTTTGTGCTATTTCATTTATGTTATCAGTTTGAGAAGAGATTGCTGAAATATATCTTTGCTTTTACTGAAAGTGTGCAAGAATTTAAAGATACTTGTGGGCATTAGGATGTAGGGGAAGTGTTTACCTTGAGAAATTTAGGACAGATCACCCATGGTAAGAGGTTAGTTTATCATACACATCTCTGCTCATCTACAGTTGCCATTGCCTAAGTCAGCTGGCAGAGGACCTTTATAAATGAAGCCTGTTCCTCTGAGACTAAACACTTTAACACTGATTTTTTGAGTCATGTATCTTAAAGGAAACACAGAATTTAACTTCTGCACTGCAATTATTCCTGTGCCAGCTTTCTTCACTTTCCTTCTACTTCCAGTAACATCTCATTCCTAGACTTCAGAGACCAGGCTAATTAAGGAGAATGCCTTGCATGGTTTGTACTTGCACATAATAGATTTGCTTGTGTCACACCAAACATCATTATGCCCATCTTTCTTAGTTGCTTCTCTGCTGGTTCTGCAGGGTCATCCCCAACATCATCTCAGAATGCCACGCTGCCTTCATCGAGTGCCTGGCCGCTTAGTGCCTCCGGCTACAGTAGCTCTTTCAGCAGCATTGCATCTGCACCTAGCATTGCAGGTACGGCCTTTCTGCTTCCACAGCTTCTGCATTCCCAGGAAAAGGCCCTAGGGAGTGCTGTCCCAGTGCTTACAGGAGTGCTGCCCCAGGCAGGAATGTGTTTGTAGCCCTGAGCTGGGTGGCAGCTCTCCTGTCAGCTCTGCGGTGGGGAGTGGTGGATGGTGTGCCTGGGATTGTGCTGAGGAAAAATGGATTTGTTCCACTTGGTGTCACTCTTGGCATCGAGATCTTTGGGGGAGGAACACTGTGCAGGGCCTCAGCAGGAACAGACCCTTCCAGGAAGAGCTGATGTGAAATTTGTGTTAAAGAACTCACTGTTAAAAGTGAAACATCTTCCCCTCAGATAAAGCTCCAGTAGTACCTCCAGGAGGTACTTTTTGCATGGCTCTGGGAGGTTGGGTTTGGGGCTCTTCAGTGTCCTTTAATAGTCAAAAGCCAAAGCCTGATGCTCTCCTATATGGCTGAGCTTGTAGGTGAGCTAAATAATTAGCCCATTTTTTTTTACTGAGCTCTAAATTCTGGAGCTTTTTTTTGCATAACATAGAAACTTTGCTTGCAAACTTGCTACCTAAATATGCAGTTTGTCCCATTCTAAAATTGTGTTGGGTTGTATAGATGGATTAGATAAGAAAATGCTGATCAGCTGAAACCTCCCCACTTGTCTGAAGGTGCAGCCTCCAGGTCAGGCTGCAGAATGCAAAACAAAAAGGATTTATTTGGGATGTTTTCCTCCAGTGAAAGGAAAAGAAAAGAGTGGCTTGCTTTTCTTTAACTGCCATACATTTCTGCTTTATTTGCTGCCCTATTCTTTTTGTTTCTTTTGTTTTTGCAGTGTCATCTAATGTTTGTGTTATCTCATGAGAAGTAATGACATAGCAACACCTGGCCTGTGGTGCTGTGCCTGTATTGGGTGTCCCATCACAGGCTGGGCTGCTCTGAGCTCTCAAACTTAGATTTGCTCCTCTCCTCTCACCATTTTACACTCATTAATGCCCTCATTGTCATTGTCAAATTATTTTTGTTGCTACAGTTTGCCAGAAGATGGGAGAGTGGTTGCCCTTTCACTTAAATTGTTATGATTCACTATGAAATAATTGAGTTAAACGATTTAGATAAATTGAGGCAATTTTGGGAATGTGTGTGTATGTAACTGAGTCTGTGATTTTGCAACTTGTAAATTTGGCTTTGGGACTCATAAAATTACTCAGTGCCTGCCTGATGTCTTAAAGCACTGATCCAGTGTAAACTTAAATCTGCCAGTTCTAGTTTTATAAAAACTCACAAGATCTTTGCATCTTGAATTTTATCACACCAAATATGTTCTTGTTCTCTGCAATCAGCATTAAAGCATTAGGGCAGCACAGTCACATCGTTTGCTGGGGCAGAAGATGCAGGACTGTTCTTCTTCCAATCCATTCCAGCCCTCCATGTGCTGCCAGTGTTGGTAACAGCAGGACTGTGCTGTGACAGGGAAATGGGGCTCTAATTGCACAGCACGTGTTGGTATCAGGAGGAAGGGCAGGGATGTGTAAGTCTAAAGGTGAAGAAAGATTTGTTTCATTATCCTTTATTTAAATCAATTCAGTCTGCCCCTCTGAATGCTGTACTGTGTCTGCTGTTCTTGGGTTTGTGTTATTTTATGAAGCTTTGAATTGGCAGGAACAGCAGTAAGAGTTTGAAAACTGATCAGGGAAAGGACAAGCAAAGACTGACAGTTTGTGGTGTGGTGTTATCTTCTGAAGTTTTTCTCAAAGATACATGGAAAAAAGAGTATAGGTTACTTCAAGTATTCAGAAGTAAAGTTTTTGTTGGTCTTTGATCTTTAGAATTTTAATAATGCATCAGAAGAACATATGGATGTACTGAATTCTTTGCATTAGGTAAAATGAGTTGTGCAAGAAAAAGTGTTTAAGTCCTACTAAACCTTTGAGAGACACAATCTTGAAGTGTTTCGTTCTAATTTTGGTGAAATCAGATTTCAAATACCTATGTCCATTTTCTGGACTTTTTTCCATGCAACATCTTTTACAAGAAAACAAAGCAATAGATTTTCAGAAGGGAAACTTGTATGTAACAGGTAGTGTGAGGTTCACTAAACACAAAAATTTACTAGAAATTGTAAATAGTGGTTTAAGTAGGTTCAAAGAATATAGGATTTGTAGCACTGGATGGTACAGAAAGTTGTTCTTTTCCTCCTGAGAAGCTGGGAGGATGTAGCCCATGACCCCCATCAGTGAAGAATACCCAAATGTACTCTTTTTTGTTGCAGGTAAACTGTCAGACATCAAGTCCACGTGGTCCTCTGGCCCGATCTCTCACACCCAAGCCTCTCTGTCCCACGAACTCTGGAAGGTTCCCAGAAACACTACAGCTCCAACCAGACCTCCTCCAGGCTTAACCAACACCAAGCCATCCTCCACGTGGGGTGCCAGTCCCCTGGGCTGGACCAGCTCTTACTCCTCTGGTACTCACAGCTCTCTTCTTTCTGCCTTCTCAGCTCTGTGTGTGGGGCTCCAGAACCAGAGCTTTAACACAGCTGGACTGGTTCTGTTCTGGGGATGCATCTCCTGTCTCTTTATTTCACTTGGAATAAGCTCTAAATGCAGAATCTTTCAGCTGCTCGTGTTAGTGATTTTACATAGGAGTTGCCCAATTTGTTCAACTCCCAACTAGGATTTTTTTTTCCCCAGTTCCTTGATTTCTAAAAATGTTTTTCAAACGTGTGTTCTGTTCTGTGGTGTGATCTAAGACTTCAAGAGGAGCCCGTGGAATTCAATATGGAACACATGGATGTGAAGCATTTAGTATCTGATGGCATTGCAAGGCCCTCAGGGAATGCTTGAATTTTTTCATGCAGGTCCCTTTTTTTATATGCCTTTGTTTGCTTTAATACAAATATGAGAAACCATGAATCTGGCTATATATATATCAATATTTAGATATCTCTATCTATATAAATATAGATATATATGCAGGTATTACTCCTATTTTATCAAGCTGTTTTAATAATCTGCTTACACTAAGGTGAGAATTAAATGTTCTTCCCTCTTCCTGCCATTTATTTTGGATGCTTCTTCACCAAACCCCCACCTGGAAGGGCAGATAAAGCTGCTCCCAGGATTCTCTCAGGAGCACCCACAGGATCCATTGTGATTCTCAAATGCCACTCATAAATATCAAGCTTGTACAGCTTCTTACTGTAAACCACCAAGCTGTAAAGCACCAGGCTGAGGTTGTTAGAGCAGGTTTTGTTGGTTATGTCCTTGTATCTTGTCAGTGCAGAAATACCTGTTTTGAATAAGTCATGCACATTAATCTGTCATTGGCAAGAGAGCAGAGTGCTGCACTGCTATAAAAATCTTTATTAGGAAGCAGCAATCTGAGCTTGGACTGCTCAGAACTGCTTTTAAAATGCATCTTCCAGATTAATTCTAATGCATCCTGAGGATCCAGTTTGTTGCAGTGCCATACCTGCATCTGTTTGTTCCCTAATAGTCACTCTGGGAGTATGAAAAATGCCACAGATCTTTGAAATGTAACAAGAGCAGCTTTTCATTCAGCAACCTTTCCTTCCAAGGGAGGCAGTAAATCAAGATGTGAGGAAACTGCTGTAGGATTTGTTTTCAGCAGCACTGAGGCTTGTTAGTGTGTTGTGATTCCAGATAAATTTTGCCTGTAAGGTGCTCTCCAGAGACCATGATCCAATGTTTTGTTGTGGAATTTGTGTTGCAGGTTCTGCATGGAGTACTGACAGCTCAGGGAGAACAAGCAGCTGGCTGGTTCTTCGGAACCTCACCCCCCAGGTAACTGGAATTGTACAAAACTGGGCAGGAAAAGACACTTGAATTTAAGAGATGATGAGAACAACATTTACCAGCCTTGGTCATTTGATTCGTTTGAAAGAAGAATAATTATTCTGCATTTATTACAAGTATCTGTCATCTACAGGGAATTTGTTAAGTTTTCAAAGTGCTGTTAAATCAAGTCTGAACTTTCAAGCCTGTAATTAGTCATTCAGTGGGCACCATTTCTGTATGTGTAAGTTTGGAGGTGAATGATGTTGTAAAGCACATACAGATATGTAAAATCTGATTTTCATGACTTTTTGGGTTCTTCTCATCTATTTCACATGCTCTACTTGTCCTTCATGGTGTCATTCCAAAGCCACAAAGCCTTGGATGCAGACATCCAAATTAGTCTTGGGGGAAAATTCAATTACATTTATGAAGTGTGTTTTTTCCCTTTGACTTATTTCTGGATTTCTGTGGACGTGTAATGATAAATACAATTTGTATAACCTAAATTGGGAAAATTAGTGCACTGGACTGTAGGGAATTCTTAAAAAGACAGGATGTCTGCCTCAATGCAGGGAACAGTAAGTGTGTAATCAAGTACTTCTTTTTTCCTTTCACTTGTACTCACTCTTTAGCTTTTAAACACTTGTTAATGAAGCATTTAAGATCACAATACCACAGGTAACCTTTGCTGCCCTTGCCCCCTCCCAGATCGATGGCTCCACACTGCGGACTCTGTGTTTGCAGCACGGCCCTCTCATCACATTCCACTTGAACCTGACCCAAGGGAATGCTGTGGTCCGATACAGTTCCAAGGAGGAAGCAGCCAAGGCCCAGAAGTCTCTGCACATGTACGTTTCTGCTGCCTCTTTCTTTTGGTACAAAGCCCAGAAAATGTTTTCTTTGCCATAACTGACCATTAGTTACTTCAATCTTGATTTTCAATATTACTTAATGAGAGAGAAAAAAGTGAACCGGGGTCAATACTGAATAAGAGGGCATTACAGAACTTTATTCAGCATAAATAATATCCTCAGTTAGGTCACCTGTAAGGACACAAAGAATTTGTAAGATGTGATAAGGATTCCAAAGGAAGCTCAGGGAGAGCACAGGACAAGGTTTTAGCTTTAGAGAGAAACAGAGAGGGTAAAACAATGTTAAATAAGGAATGTGTTCGTGGTGGTCACCTTTTTTTAAAGGAATTATGAGAGAAGTGTATGACAGCAAAATCTGCCTTTTAGGAGTTTTGAAATCCAAGAGACTAACAGGCATAAAGGCTGGAGAATTGGAGTGGTAAAATCAGTGCCATTGGGCAGGATGAAGAATACAGAGTGGTGTTTCAGGAGAATTACTTGGGTATTCAGAGCTGGAAAACAATTTCCTTTGTCAACAGTTTATAGCATGAGCATAATGAAATAAAGTACTGAGGCAGTGGGAGCATCATTTGGCTGGAGAGCTTCTGTCCTTATTCCTGAAGAGAATCGAGGCTCCAGGACGACTCAGTTAGAGGAGAAGGTCTCCACATGTGTGGATTTGGGTGTTTGTGGATGTAGGAAGGTGGACAGAAAACAGGACAGAGCAGCCTTGGTTGAAGAGACAGGGATTGCTCAAAGCGAGAGCATGTGGTGGAAATTTCCACCTTGATTTCAGCCTGGGGGAAGGTGGAGCCCTGTCACAGAATTGCTTGGGTTGGGTGGGACCTTAAAGCTCATCCAGTGCCACCCCTGCCATGGCAGGGACACCTCCCACTGTCCCAGGTGCTCCAAGCCCCAATGTCCAACCTGGCCTTGGGCACTGCCAGGGATCCAGGGGCAGCCACAGCTGCTCTGGGCACCCTGTGCCAGGGCCTGCCCACCCTCACAGGGAACAATTCCTGCCCTTACCCCATCTAAGCCTGCTCTCTGTCAGTCTGAAGCCATTCCCCTTTGTCCACAGTCTCTCTCCAGGTTCCCTGTAGGCTCCTTCAGGCACTGGAAGGCTGGAGTTAGGTCAGGCTGAGCAATCCTTTTGCATATAGGTAAAACCTGACAAAGGAAAGGCCTTGTAAAATCATGGCTCAGGCCTGCTACTTGGGCTAAGTACAGCTAACAGCTGGCCTAACAAATATCTGTGAGAAAAAGATTCTGTATCCATGAGACCCATCCTGTACCCATGAAAAAAGAATGTAAATATCTTTAGGAAACAAAGTCTTTGGCAGGCACATATACTAGCAACTACTAACCAAAGAACTGGATAGCAACAGGTTCCTAACCAATGAGAATTAAACACGATGCTTTTAGAAAACCATAAAAATCTGAGCTGGGAATAATAAGGATGCTGCATAAATGAAAGGTGTCTTGTCCATCTCAACTGTAACAAATCCCAATTCCCTCAGCCTTTCCTGACAGAATATCCACCAAAAGCACCCTTTGAGTAACAGGGTGGTGTTTTGCACCACTTAATCAGTGGTTTGTCTGAAGTTTCTTCTGTCTTTACTCAGAGGCAGGATTAAAAAACACGGAGATGAATTTTCTGGTGTTTGGACTTGGTTGTTTATTAAATCTTATCTAAAGTACACAAAGTTCAGCAGCACTCCTAGCTACCAGCTAGAAGTGAGCAGAATGGAGGAGAATCCAGCTGGTTACAAGGTTTCTTAAAGCTAAGCAGTCCAATAGAGAATTAACACCTCTATTATTTATACTTTTGACCCAATAACCAAACTCCCATGACCTTCAGTGCAGCACTGACTGTCCAACCAAAAACTACTACCTGAAATCATGAAGGAGTAGGAAGATGAGCACCAAAAAGAGACTCCACCCAAAATCCTCCATCTTGTCCCATACCTATTACTATATTACAAAAACCTCAAATTTAAAACCTTTTACCATGTGAAATCATACACTTCTACTCAACTACACACCACATCCATCACTCAAATTTGGAGCCTTCTCCAAGGCTCAGGTCAAAAGCAGTGTTCTCCAGGGGTCAGTGCCAGAAAGCTCAAAAAACCCTAGGTTTGTAGGATCTGACACCTTTTCACCCCATACCTTATAGCCGTGGAAAGGAGTATTAACCCTTTAGATGCAGCAGAAATGAGACACACAGCTACATGGTCATCCCTCAGGACAGGAAGGAGACAAGATTTATTCAGAAACACACTTGCAACTCCAAGGGCAGAAAAAAGATGATTGGTTCAGAGAGAAGACAGCTTTCCCAGGGCCTGGTTATGTAGCACAACAGGTGTTCTATCTTTTTGACCAAGTTATCATCCTGGCAGAAATTCTCCCTAACTGAAACTGAGCCAGCTTATTAATCTGGGATCAGAGCTGAGAAGCTCTGGAGTATTTTGCAGGCCACAATACCTCACCTGTTGCTTGCACCCTCAGGTGTGTCCTGGGCAACACGACGATCCTGGCGGAGTTTGCTGGTGAGGAGGAAGTGAATCGTTTCCTGGCGCAGGGGCAGGCGCTGCCGCCCACCTCCAGCTGGCAGTCCAACACTGGATCCACCCCGAGCCGCCTGGGCTCCTCGGGCAGCTCGCACGGGCTGGTGCGCCCCGACACCGGCCACTGGAACCCCCCGTGCCTGGGGGGCAAGGGCAGCACTGACCTGCTCTGGGGGGGGGTGCCCCAATACTCCAGCAGCCTTTGGGGACCCCCCAGCGCCGACGACGGCAGAGTGATCGGGAGCCCCACGCCCCTCAACACCCTCCTGCCGGGGGATCTGCTCAGCGGGGAGTCCATCTAGGAGACGAGCAAGCGGAATGGAAGTAACAATCATCAGCACTAAAGGAAAACAAAAAATTAACAAAAAAAAAAAAAAATTTAAAAAAAAAAAAATTAAAAAAAAAACACGGTAACCCTTTCCAGTCCCGGGCTTGATGAAGAATCCAGCTTTAACCCATGAGACTGGCAGCCCTCCTTAGTACCTCTGTCCAATATCGAATCTGAAACTGCAGAAGTCCTTGTGAACTGTTCCTGAAACAGTATGGGCTCCTTTGGTCAGTGTCACATGCTAATGACAGGTTTTACTTTTTTCATGGCTTTTTTTTGTTTGTTTTGTTTTGTTTTATGTCGTCTTTTTATGTTTGTATGGTGACTTTTTCAAAACCAAGTATAAAAGCTGCTTAGAATAGGTCTATCATGAAGGGCACTTTTCAGAATTTGGGCTGGAAAGGGTTATTTTATCAACTTGGGGGGGGGTGGGAAGGGGAAATGAAAGCCTATTTAAATGAGCCTGTGACTATTATGCACATTACAGAGGCGGACCCAATAATCAGAAAGGGTGAAGTGTGATATTTTACCATTGGTACAGAAAAGTGACGAATCCCAGTGGCAACTCTGGACTGTACAGGTTGAGAGGGGGGGAGGGAGGGCAGGGTTGGGGTATCTGTGTCCACTACTCCCATGGATCTGCCTATGCACATTACCCTTGTTTCATTACTTTTTCATGTCATTTTTTTAATCCCAAAAAATATAAAAAGTTTAAAAAAAAGAATAAAAAAATCAACAAAGAAACAAAAAAAAAAAAAAAAACTTAAAAAAAAGCAACAAACCATATCAACATGCAAATACTTGAATCCAGCAGGCCAATAACAAAATGTGAACACTTTCTAAGTTGAATTATTACACTTCCAGGTCAGCATCAGTACACAAAAAACAGGCTCTAAGAAGTTTTTTTTTTTTAAAGTTCAGACTCTATGTTTTTGTTGGGACAGATGTGAGTGTGTGTGTGTGTGTGCCTGTGTGTGTGTGTGCCCACGTGTGGTTTAACTCAACGTGTGAAGTTTTTTCCTTTGGTTCAGTATATGCTTTTTATTTGCTCATTGGTCAAATGTTTAATTGTTATTAGCTTCTAACTTTGCACTGAGTGTCCGCAGCCCTTCTTGTAGCTAATCCTGTAATGGTAAAAACACACAAAAAACAAAAAAAAGAAAAAAAAAAAAAAGAAAAAAAAGGAAAAAAAAAAGGAAAGAAACTGATAGAAGGGGCCGGCGACAATTCATGTGTAAATGTTTACTCAAGGACTCTTATTGCATTTTAAAAATTACAGTGTGTATCTCTGGAGAATAATATGTATATCTACCTTTAGCGGCTTTTTATTGTGGACTAATGCAAGAAAATTATTACCGGAGTATTGCACCATTTTTCCATTCGGAATATAAAGTTTAAAAAAAAAAAAAATACTCTTGTTGAACTGTGGCCATAGATAATTGTAAAGAGTTGATAGTTCCCTTGCAAGCAGGAACAGAAACAAGCACTTGGACATAAGTTTTGACTGCTTTTGGAGGAGCCAGGAGTTTTGGCTCCCACCTGTTTACAGACCTTTTTTTCTCCTTCAAACTTTAAAATAAAAAAAGGAATTAAAAAAAAAAAAAAAAAAAAAATTACAAAAAAAAAAAAAAAAAAAAAAAAAGGTTTTGGTTTTGTTTTGTTTTTTTGTTTGTGAATGAAGATATGCTACTTCAGAGCTCTGGGATTNAAAAAAAAAAAAAAGAAAAAAAAGGAAAAAAAAAAGGAAAGAAACTGATAGAAGGGGCCGGCGACAATTCATGTGTAAATGTTTACTCAAGGACTCTTATTGCATTTTAAAAATTACAGTGTGTATCTCTGGAGAATAATATGTATATCTACCTTTAGCGGCTTTTTATTGTGGACTAATGCAAGAAAATTATTACCGGAGTATTGCACCATTTTTCCATTCGGAATATAAAGTTTAAAAAAAAAAAAAATACTCTTGTTGAACTGTGGCCATAGATAATTGTAAAGAGTTGATAGTTCCCTTGCAAGCAGGAACAGAAACAAGCACTTGGACATAAGTTTTGACTGCTTTTGGAGGAGCCAGGAGTTTTGGCTCCCACCTGTTTACAGACCTTTTTTTCTCCTTCAAACTTTAAAATAAAAAAAGGAATAAAAAAAAAAAAAAAAAAAAAAAAGAAAAAAAAAAAAAAAAAAAAAAAAAAAGACTTCCATCGTAAAGAAAACTATTTTCAGAATGAAGATATGCTACTTCAGAGCTCTGGGATTGAACAGTGTTGTTGTATTATCCTTTTCTTTGGCCATTGCTGTGTACTATTTTTGTTGTTGTTTTCTTCCTCTTCGTCAGAGTGGCGAAAACTTTGTGATCACTATCTTGCACATGGTGGAAGATGTCTCAGGAAAGCCGGGTTTCCCGAGGAGCAACTCCACACCATTTCATGTATTTTTAAAACCCAACTCCTAGCACTGAAGATATTATTAAAAAACAAAATAAAATAAAAAAAAAAGACAGTAAGAAAGAAGAAAATACCTAATCTAATGTGTAGCAGTTACATATTTACCAAATAATGGACTCAAAAGAAATAGATGTTTGAAGAGTGCTTTATATATTAAAAAATCGCTTTATGTTTAAAAAAAGATCAATGTTTTTGATTGTTTTGAAAGGAAGAAAGACAATGGAATAACATACACTTCAAGTATGTTTTAAAAATTATATGAACATTGTGCTCCCTGCCTGCTTGGATCAGGAAACTTGTGCATTACATTTTTTTTTTTTTTTGGAAGATTAGCTTTTTAATGGTTTTATCAGATTTAAAGGGTCCTGCAAGATTGCAAATTAACAAAAGCTGGTTTTATAGAGGATCATGAACTATGCACAAACTGGGTTCAAGACTTGTTTTGTTTTTTTTTCCTCAAGTTTTAGTAGTGTATTTAGCTGAATAACCTTTCCTCAGAGTAATTG